TCCTGAGCCACCCCTTCTCTGTAATCGCCCCGCCGTCCTTAATCCTGTTCCGCCCCTTTCTCTGTAATCGCCTCCGGGTCCTTACTCCTGATCCACCTCCATAATCTGACTCTAATCCCAATCCCACAACTCTTAGCCTGGGGGGTTAAAGTCCTAATTGGAGGAAATAAAACACCCCACCCCCATAGCCCAGCCCTGCCCCCCCAGCACTGCCGGTGCCCCTCACTCCCGACCCGCAGCCCCCCTCCCTGCCGGTGCCCCTCACTCCCGACCCGCAACCCCTACTAGCCCAGCCCTGCCCCCCCCAGCCCTGCCGGTGCCCCTCACTCCCGACCCACAGCCCCTGCTAGCCCGACCCTGCCTGTGCCCCTGCCCCCCTGCCCCAATCCATCTTCTCCCCCTTTGTCATTTCATTCCCAGCTTCCCCGAGCGCCCAGAGAGACTCGCGGCCGTCAAGGGAAAGTTGCTGCAATGCGGCCTATGGGAGCGCTGCGTCCCGGTGGAGGTGAGACGGGGGTGGGGCTGGGCGCCAGGACTCCTGGGTTCCATCCCCAGTACCGGGGCCTTTTCCCCGTGGGCGGGAGGGGTCAGAGACCAGCTGCTTCTACCCTCCCCCGCAGTCTCCCCTTTAGTGGTTTGCGAGTTCCGGCTACAATTCCTTCCTTTCCTCACAGGCCCGGCTGGCTACCGAGGAAGAGATTCTGCTAGCCCACAGGTATTCATGGAAGGGAGGACCCTGGGGCTGGGCTAGCAGGGGCTGCGGGTTGGGAGTTAGGGGCACCGGCGGGGAGGGGGGCTGCGGGTCGGGAGTGAGGGGCACCGGCAGGGCTCGGGGGGGCTGGGGGCTGCGGGTCGGGAGTGAGGGGCACTGGCAGGGCTGGGGGGGGCAGGGGCTGCGGGTCGGGAGTGAGGAGCGCTCTCTCTCAGCCAGGAGTACGTGGAGCTGATGAAGTCGACGGAGCAGATGAGCGAGCAGGAGCTCAGGGCCCTGTCGGAGACGTACGACTCCGTCTTCCTGCACCCGGTGAGCACCTGCCGGCCAGCGAGGGGAGGCCCAGACGCCTGGGTCCTGTCCCTGGCAGGGGAGTGGGGTCTAGTGGTAAGAGCGGGGGGGGGGGGGGGGGGTGCCGGGGGTCGGGGGGGTTCTCCCCGCGGCTCGGGGGGGGGGGGGGGGGGTGGGGGGTGGGGGGGGGGGGGGCTGGGGGCCCGGACTCCTGGGTTCTCCCGGCTCTGGGAGGGCTGGCGGACAGGCCCCCAGCGCTGTCTATGGGGGGGTGGTCTCTGGGTCCCAGCCCCGCTCTCCGTGTCTCCTGCCCCAGGGTTCGTACCGCGGCGCCCGGCTGGCTGGCGGCTGCGTCCTGCGGCTGCTGGAGAAGGTGCAGAGCGGGGAGCTGCGCAACGGGCTGGCGTTGGTCCGGTAGGAAGGGGGGGGCGGCGGGGGCGGGGCCTGGGGGCTCCTCCCTCTCGGCAGAGGCCAATCACCGAGAGTGGTTGATTCCCGGATCCTCAATTGTGTTGCCCGGTTTGAATTCTCGCCTCCGATGACCCGGCCTCTGTGATTGGACGCCAGCGTTTAGTGCTGACGCCTTGGCCGGGCCCCTGGGTGTTCGCACGGCCCGTGAGCCTCACCTCAGAGGGGCCCCAGCCCTGCCCCACCTCCGGCCCCCACCCCCACCCTCACCCCGGCCCCGCCTCCAGCAGAGCCCCACCCCTGTGCCCCGCCCTCGCCCCACCCCTCCCCCTCCCGCCCCCGCCCCGCCCCTGCTCGGCCTCAGCCCCTGGCCCCCACCCCTAGACAAGCCCCCACCCGGCCCCCGCCCAGCCCCCACCTGGCTCCGGCCCCTACCTGGCCCAGCCCCTGGCCCTGCCCCCAGCCCTGTCAGATCCTTGCACCAGCCCAGAGCCTGGCCAGACACTGCTTGGCTCCAGTCCCAGGTTCTTCGTCTAGCCCAGGGGGGCC